TAGTGAAAACTATTAAGAATAAACGTTTGTCCCATCTTTTCGTTCAATGAATTCTTCGATTACGCAAACGGTTTCCGAGAATTCTTATTTTTTTCCATTGCAAACACGATTTTTTTTTTAAATTGCGGTCTCTCACAAAAACCGCTCCCGACAGCAAACAGTACAACATGTGTGAGACCTTTTGGTATCATTGAATAGAAAAAAGTCTAAAGTATAGAAAAATTCATTTCAATTTTTCAAAATTATAAATAAACGAAATATAAAACATTTTATCGAAAAAAAAAAAAACGTTTTTTGCCAATATTTTGTCCCCCGGAGGGGCTAAGAAACTTATAATTAAACAACTGACTATTTTATTTTAATACCCCCCGATCTCCCATCGTTGTGCCAAATCTCAGCCGGATCGGTTAATATCGACCTCGATCCAACATTGTCATAAGTGATTTTTCCCAAAAATTAATATTCTTAATTTTTTAAAATACCTACGTTGCTCCGAGAAGGTTGAACTTTTTATCGAAGATAGAGGTCAGTGAGATCTATTCGCAAACACCATCAAGTCCGCTCCCCGACCCCCTCCATCATTGGTTAATATTCTCAATTCATAATTTTCATGGTTGTCATAATTTTCCTCAAAAATTCTCGATTTTTATTTTTTTAAATATCTACGTTACTTCGAGAAGGTTGAAATTTTTACTAAAGATGGAGGTCAATGCGGCCTATCTGCAGATACAGTAAAGTCCGCCCCAGTCCCACCATTTGGTTGTAATTAATAATTAATTTTATTTTTTTTTAATTGTGGTCTCTCACAAAAACTGCTCCCGACAGCAGACAGTAAACATGTGTGAGACCTTTTGGTATTATTGAAAAGAGAAAAGACTAAAGTCCACTCCAACTCGCTCCATTTAATTGAAATTAAGCATTTAGTAAAAATTTGCAACGTCTTACAAAAACCGTTCCCGACGACGAACGGTACAACTTGGATGAGACTTTTTGGTATCGTCGGATAGAGGCAGGACCAAGGTATATAACGCATTGAAACTTGAAATTCTCAAAATTATAAATAAGCGAGATATTAAAATTTCAAAATTAACTATCGATTTTCGGACTGATTTTTCAGTAAACAAATTTTTTTTCAACGCTGACGTAGGAAATCGCAAGTAACAATCGAGCTTGAATCGCGCACGCAATAGTTTTTCGAACAGTATCGACAACAATAATCTCGGTATCGGATCGAGAAGTCGCCGGGATCAAACGAACCTCGCAACACATCGCGAGATTACAATATTTTGACCCCTCTGACGTGTGCGAAGCCGACGTCACAGCAAACCTCCCATTTTCGATAACGACAATAAAAAACATATTTGTTATTTTTGACGTACGGTCACACCACCGCTCGTTGTCGAACAAATATCAAGATGTTATTGTTGTGTAAAATCATTGTTATTTGCAGGGGGCAAAATGTTATCCGACCGATGCGATCCGCTCAAAAAAAAGATCGGCCAGTGTTTATCCGTTCGCCCGAAACGAACAACAAAATATTTTGTATCCAGCTGACATCTATTTTAATCGGCTTATCTCCAGTCTATAGCATTCAAACCCTGAAATTTTCGAAAAAAAAATTATTTACATGCCTCCACGAACTATTCTAACCAATGACATCATGAAACGACACCCCTCCGTCACAATATACAGGGTGTTTTCTAATCGAATGTCAATAATTAAGGGGACGATTTTTGGATCCATTTTAAAAAGAAAACGTCATACGAGCATATGCCCTTAACGTCGTCACTTTTGAGACACAGGCTGTTAAAGTTTTCAAAAATAAAATACATTTTTTGAATATCTGTAATATCACTTTAGCTATTTTAATAAAATTTGGCACCTATCAAGAGGCATTATGTACTATACCTCAATTTTTTAAAAATAAGCCAGCGGCGGGCGTATGGAATTTCACCTTTCTAATTTTCCAGACATTGATGTCACTTATTTTCCCTTGAAATAAAAATTATTCTTATAATCTCCAATCATTGCTAAAGAAATTTAATTCCTTGATTTTTTTTCTTGGGTGAAAACCTTACTAAAAACAAATTAAGAGATCAAGTCACAAATGAACAAATAATATTACTGTTAATTAGGTCGCCACTGCACTGGTTAAATAGAGAATTTTTTTTTGCGAAAAATAAAGGAAATATTAGAAGACTGTTCTTTTTACTATTACAATTTTAATGAAATAATATAACATCCTAGCAACAGGATATAGTATAATATGCAATAAGTGCGGTAAACGGCATTTGACTCACGAGTTTATTTGACATGAGCGCAGAGTTTAATAAACGAGTGAGATAGAAAGTTTACCGAACGTGTTGGGTACTATACTTTTTCTACGACAGTCACGAAAGAGAGAGAGAGAGAGAGAGAGAGAGAGAGAGAGAGAGAGAGAGAGAGAGAGAGAGAGAGAGAGAAATAAACCACGGAATGATCACAATTTTAAAACGTAATGTTGTTTATTTAACTTTCACAGTTGATTATGAAGTAATTAATCTCCATGGCTTCCAATAAATTTAATTTTATATTTTTTTGTGGCTGTATGTAAAATATCAAAATTGTCGTCAAAAATGTGTTTTTCCGTGTTTAAGTGTGTAACACAATTAGAATCTAGACTATCATCTATCATTCATAAAAAGTTTCTTAGACAAAAACTAAAGTTAGAGAAATTAATTTCAAAATACAAAATACCTAACAGCAAGCCAGTTATAACAAAGTATACCGACGAGTGGCGTATTAAGAAGTCTGTGTATAAAAGAGTGAAATGCAGCCATATTTTGTGTATAAGGATGATTTGAGCTGTTATGTATGACTGTGTCCGTGTGTGAAGTTTTGTGATAAATGGAAAAATCTCATTTGGTTTGCGATTACGTAACAGTTACAACAAAGCAAGCAAAGACATCATCCACGTATCTATACCACTATAGAAAACTTTTACTTAAAGGATGTTCTAGTATAATATTTTCCATATTATCCATAAAAATCTCGCCTAACAAAGGACTAAGTGGGTTTCCCGTAATCAAACCTTCCGTAGAGATGTAAATCTGTCCATTAAATTCAAAATAATTTTGGTTTAAAGACACTATTAAGCAATCCAATAAATCTTGTTTCACCAATGGGTTAACCTGTTTCCGAGTTGGGGTGAAATCTACTAAATCTATCACATCCATAGGTGGAATACTGGGAAATAAGTTTTGTACATCAAAAGTGTTGCGTTAGGAGGGATTTTCAGATCTTTAATTTTGTTGATTAATTCGAAAGAAATTTTTATTGCAAATTTTGGTTTAAAATCTGTGTAGAACTTTAAAATATTTACTAATTTTGTTGAGAGTTTAACTGCTGGAACTGTTACATAATTTATATAAAAAATTTAATTTCGGCGGTTGCGGATTCGTAATTGTTAAAAAATACTTGCCTTTGTCACTAAATAGTGTGGAATTGGTAATTACTTCCTTGACTGGTGTTTGATATAACTCGATAGGATCCTGTTTGATACATTGGAAAAGTTCTGGTTTAAGAAAATTGTTGGTTTATGAAATATGACTGTGTTCCCTTTATCTGCACGTGTAAATATTATGTTACTTTCAGAAGCTTTGTTTTTGACAGTTTTTACTAGTGACATTTGAGAAATTTCTTGGTGTTTTTTGTTATCTATTAATTGAGAGTTTAATAATACATGTTTGTTTAAATTAGAATTGTTAATATCCTTAATTGCTGATTCACAGTCGATTCCTAAACAGTCTAATTCTCTATTATTGTACGAGTGCTGTAAGTTAAAGTTGAAACCTTTTTCCAGAAATTCAACTTCATTTTTAGAAAATGTTGTGTCTGTTAAGTTTAAGTTAAAATTGGTGGTCGGTATACTTTGTAATAACTGGCTTGCTGTTAGGTATTTTGTATTTCAAATTAATTTCTCTAACTTTAGTTTTTGTCTAAGAAACTTTTTATGAATGACAGATGAAATGTCTGTTCAACAACACAATATTAAAATTTCTAAAAAACAATTAAACGAAATGTCTCAAAAATCAGGTGTCCACAGGTTGAAATGCGGATCTTGTCCTAAAATTTATATTGGACAAACAGGTAGATCCTTCAAGAAACGCATTAACGAACATAAAAGAGCGTTTAAAAGCAATAGTCTAGATTCTAATTGTGTTACACCCTTAAACACAGAAAACCACATGTTTGACGACAGTTTTGATATTTTACATACAGCCACAAAAAGTAGAAAACTAAATTTATTGGAAGCCATGGAGATTAACAAAGTGAGACATTGACATGTATTGCTTAACGATCAATTTGATTCAAATACCTCTTTTTATTGAACTTAAATTCTCACAACAACATTCATAAAAGTTTTATTGTCATTTTTCGGTATATATAGTAGCTGGTACTTTGTAAATATTACATTTGATAAAGGCACGGTGTTGTCGAAACAATTGTAGTGTAAAAATATATAATTTCGTGAAAATCTGAACTTTTAGTTCTTATTTATTTTGATAAATGGATTTTCATCAAGGAAAAGCCACCTTAGTTTAAGTATTTTAACTATATAACATCGTTTTTTTTTTTTCGTAGAATGCTGTTTTTTTTTCATATTATATAATAGATAGGAGGCATAGTTAAATTAAGGATAGCTGTCAAGTTTTTAACATAGTATACCTTGAATATATTGTTTTTTGTATTAATATTTATTTAATGTTTAAGTTTGGCTTCTTTACTGAGAAAATGATTTATGAATAAACGGTTTCCTCAACTTATAGAAGGATTTTTGTAACTTGCTTAAAAAACCGCACGTCACCGTCAAACCATAATCCTAAATATTTACACCCGTCTGAAGGAGAGATAATCTCATCAGTTAGCGTAATCTGACAACTGGCGTTTCTTACAATTTTTTCCCTTTTATTTTAGTAGACGCATTTAAAGCTTCTCTAACAAATCACAGTTATAACAGAACCAACCGAATGCGTTGCCATTTATTATAACTTATTTCCTCGATAACATGTTAAGTAAATTTAGCCGCCGTCGACTTCTTCGTAGTCGAGCACCAACGCTTCCAGATCATCCCTGGCGTCGTCAAACTCCGCCTCTTCCATCCCTTCCCCGACGTAGTGAAACACGAACGCCCTTTTCCTGTACATCGCGTTAAACTTGCGCAGGAGGCGTTCCCAAGCCTCCCTAATGGCGGTCGTGTTGGAGAGCATCGTCACCGCCCTGGAAGTCGCCGCCAGGTCCCCTTTGGGAACCGTCGTCGGCGGTTGGTAATTAATCCCGATCTTGAAGCCGGTAGGTGACCAATCGACGAACTGGATGGACCTCTTGCTCTTGATATTCATGATGGCGTTGTTCACGTCCGTCGGCGACACGTCCCCGCGGAACAACAGGCAACACGAGATGTACTTGCCGTTCCGTGGGTCGCACTTGACCATTTGGTTGGCCGGCTCGAAGCAGGAAGTGACCAACTGAGCTACGGACAGCTGCTCGTGGAATGCTTTGCTGGCCGACACGAACGGCGCGTAGGTGATCAAAGGGAAATGGATCCTGGGATACGGCACCAAGTTGGTCTGAAATTCTTGGAGGTCCACATTGACCGCACCTTCGAATCTCAACGAAGCGGTCACCGCCGACACCACCTGTCCCAGTAACCGGTTGGGGTTGGTGTACGTGGGTCGTGGCGTGTCCAGCTTCCTGTCCAGGATGTCGTAGACGGCCTCGTTGTCCATGATGAAGCAGACGTCCTCGTGTTCGATGCACCCGTTGGTGGTCAACACCGCGTTGTAGGGCTCCACGATTATCGGGGAGATGTGGGGAGCGGGATACACGGAGAAATCGAGAACGCTGATTTTTCGATAGTCTTCGTGGAGGTGTTCGAGGAACGAAGTAGTAAAACCGGAACCGGTACCGCCCCCGAACGCCCTGTAGACTATGAAACCCTGCAGGGAGGAGCAATCATCCGCCACCAGCCTGGTTCTGTCTAACGCCAGGTCTAGCATCTCGGCGCCGACGCCGTACCGTCCCCTGGCGTAATTGTTAGCGGCGTCTTCTTTGCCGGTGAGAAGCGTATCAGGATGGAACAGATGTCTGTAGTATCCGGTGCGAATCTCGTCAATCACGGTGGGCTCGAGGTCGACCATAACGACCCTGGGCACCGCCTGACCGCCGGACGTTACGTTGTAGAAAACTTCCGAGCCTTCGTTGGCCGCATCGTAGCCTTGGTAGAAGCGGCCGTCCACCTGGATACCGTGCTCTAAGCAGTAGAGTTCCCAACACGCGCTGGCCACTTGCACCCCGGCCTGACCTATGTGGATCTGGATGATTTCTTTCCTGGGCATCGGTCATCGTCTGCGTGGCACTGAGAATTTTGGAATCGCGTGCCGAAAACTAAACCATGACGTACGGTTGACGTACGGGTGACGTTCGGTGCTTGTTGTCGTGGTGTAATGCGACCAAAAATATAGTGCGTTCGTTGCTTTGGCGTTTTAAGGATGTTACGGTTGAGTGGGTCTCGCTTGAGATGGACCGTAACGAATTGAACTGAGGCGGTTTTTACTTGATGAAAATCCATTTATCAAAATAAATAAGAACTGAATGTTCAGATTTTCACGAAATTATATATTTTTTCATGACACCGCGCCTTTATCAAATGTAATATTTACAAACTACCTGCTACCATATTATATTATAAAAAAGAGGGGTTTTAAGTACATACCTGCATTTCTAAGGTAGATTTGGGAACACTAAGAGGCGAAAAAGCAGATTCTGACTGGGATCTCATCGAAATCTGCAACTATTTGACTCAGAAAAGGGGCTTTACGTCGAAATATATCTAATATCTAATGGTTTATTAAGGTGTTCCTTACTCTAAAGCCCGAAGACGCCGATTTTGATGAGTATTTGAAAGATATTGACATGAAAAGTAACTGTTTGAATCAAAAAATGGTAGTTTAAGCTGATGCGTGCTGTTTTGATGTGAATTTAGATAAGGTATGTGCCGGAAGAGCCGATTTTGACTGGAATCTGTTTGAAATGAGGAAGAAAAACCTGCCATCAATCCAAGAAAGTGGGTTTTTAAGAAGTCATCTGCAGTTTTAATGTAGATTTCGGTCCGGTAAGTTATGAAAATGCTGGTGGGTCGGAACCGAAGCCCGTGATAGAAACTATTGTGACGGGAGATGAAACTATGGTTCTCTATTATGACCTTCTAGCGAAAAACGAATTAATGGAGTGGCGTCGTAAGGGTGAAGCACCTCCAAGAAAATTCAGAGTCTGCCAGTCAACAAAAAAGGTGATGGCCACGATCTTTTGTAATTGTGAAGGAATTCTGTTGATAGATTTTAAAGAAACTAATACTACTGTCAATGGTAAATGTTTCGCAACATTATTACATAAATTGCGAGACTGTATACTTGTAAAACGTCGAGAAAAACTGACCAGAGCCGTGCGTCTCATGCACGATATTGCACCTGTCCATACTGCTGTTGAGTTGTTAATAAAGAGATGTAATAAGTGTATTGACGTTAAGGGGGATTATATTGAAAAATAATAAAAAAATGTTGCTCTACTTTGTTTCTTTCATATTCAGGGAGGGAAATTTTGGCGCTGCCTTCGTAAATATTAGTTGTGCTAAAGAGTCGTTACATACTTTTTTGAAGAACATTGATTTTCAGTTCCAAACAATTATTAGACATCAAGGGCTAAGAATCTCAAAGAATTTCGCAATGGAGGGTGAACTATGTAAAATATTTATCGAGAACGATTAGTGGGGGAGTGGATCGTTAAATTAGGTGGCGGCAGTAGCGAGAGTGACGATTTTTTAAGTCACTGATACTTTATTATTATTAGATTTAATATTTTGTATATTAATAGTGATACTATTTCCACTATTTTTTTATGTACACGTTTCAAAAATTGCTCGCCAAAAAAGATTGAAAACATACTTATATCCCGCTTGTTAGTGTAGGTAGATAAATTCCCAGGACGGTCCTGGACCGGTTCGGGGTAAGTTAATTATAATTTTATTATTTGGCGTTTTTCTTCCTCAATATAACCCAATTCAAATATCTTAAGTTCTTTACCTTACGCTGCAGATCCTTAGTTTTGATTAATAGTCAAAAGTAGAACATTGCTAAAACAATTGCAAACGTAGATAATATGGTTGCTATCCAGGCAGACTTGACCATTTTTAAACAATATGGCTAATGTCCAGAAATAGCATGATATTTATTTTTAAACTGAAATATCTCAAAAACGGTCAAATGAAATATTAATAATGTATGTGTTTTTGAAATCAGAGCAAAAAGATAAGCTAATACAGGGCGTCCCATTAAAAAAAGATGTAGCTCTGATTTTGACAGCTCGCGATCGTCATTTGTTTTTTCTAACATTTGCGTAAGATAATGAGCAAAAATCTTAAAACTTTTGTAATTACACTTTTTTTTTCTATGTTTCAAAATTAACCCTGTAGGTGGGTGTCAAAATATAACGAATAACCCAGTACGTATGAGGGTTAGAAAAAAAAAGGTATTGTTTCCACTTATGCCCAGCAGCACAGAATTGATAAAAAAAAAACAAATCATCGCCAGATATCATTTTTAGATCCCACCTAACAATAAATATCAGGTCGTTAGTCGGATTGTTGAAGTTTTCAAAATGTGTTTTGATGCCAGCGCCCGAAATTATGCAAGATAGTAGTACGTATAAACGAATTATGAAAATAACAATTCGCGGTCGAATAACAATAACAGGACTGTTGCCAGGACAACGGGGCCATATCGACTTTACATCCGACATTATTATTATGCTAAATTTGAATTACTGTAAAAATGCAAAACAAAAATGAAATTGCCTTTCGATAAGATATTTGAACAATAATCTGGTAAACAAACGATCCGTGTGTGAACTGGAAACTTCCATTTCAGATTAGAGCACTCTTGACAATCAATTCAAATACGCGGAGGTTTACGTCTGACTAAGATTAGCAATGCATCTGGAATGGAAGTATAACAAAATCCACTTGGCACGTGGTAGCAAAAGGGACTGATAGAAAGAGAAAACTCGATAATATTCAACGTAATAGTAATGTCAGATATGTTCAACATTTTAACGCCTACATGAAGAAATACATTTTTAGAAGGATTCGTTCGGTGTGCTTTGTCCATAATGGTGAAATTTATTCCGACAACTATCCACTACCGTTTAACCTCGTCCGTGTCAAAAAGTGTCTTCGTTTTTCAACTTGTTCTGTTACTTGCAGTTTTTTCTAATCCATGAACTAGCACACACTTATACCTTCAACATTTATTGAACGAGCAGCCCCACCAATAGCACAAAAATTTGAAAAAACTTGGAAGAATTTCTTACTTCATTCTAGTTGCTCCGTAAACTAATTGAAAGCCACTCTATAGCGATCTGAAGGCCTTGAAATGATATAAAAGACATTAAGCCCTTTCCTCTCAGTTCTATTCCTCTTCTGGTTTCAACTACTGTCCAATTATTGTTTTCTCACTTTGTCCCTTTCGTCGGTTCTTTCTTAAGTAAGAGAAAATAATTTGCTACTGTAGGCGGAACAGATAGATCAGCTGTAACAAGGTTGCTCTCGAAAAATCGTCGCGGGAGGTGGGGGGGCAAGTTCGTAGCGCCTAGCACGAAGCAACTTTTTATTATAAAAGGAAAGACCTTCGCGGTTTCGTGTGGTAAAGGGACGCATTGTTTTTCTATCGTGCTCCTGCGTACCACTATGGTACTTTCGCATGGTACTTTCGATTTCCCATGCACCCTGCATAAAATGTCCTTCTTCACATCTCGTCGAACTTCAAAGTTGCAGCAAACATAGGTAAATATTAAAATTTGCACAAATAATACCGTTGTCGAATGATATTTTTTCAAATATCTCGCGCCCGGTATAATTGACGAAACCTGAAACTCTCTCTCGACACAGTTTTCGATACTATTCAAATGAAATTATCCCATCTTCAACGGTTTTTCATTTATCGCCAATAATTAACAAACAAAAACGGAAATTTTTAGGATGTTTTAGAATTTTTGCGAATAAACGACACTCCCTGTGTATGATTCAAAGAATGTTCGAAGTAGAGGTTATAGCCCTGGATCTTCCACGTTTCCTGGTTCAAGAATTTTTTGAAAAGAGTAAATGGTTTTCGAGAAAATACGTTTTTTCTGAAACCATGCAGTGCGCCAAAATAATCAATGACGTCATCGCGTCTTGACAGACCCGGAATAACGATTTCGATATGGATTTTTTCAAATATCTGGAGCAGCGTATGTGATAGACGAAAGCCGCAAATACAAAAACTGTAGCTCTTGATGCGGCCTATGACACTGTTTGAACCAATTAGTCACATTTTTGACGACTTTTTATTTACTCTGTAAAAGAACAATTTTCTACGTCCTTTAGATATTTGGTTATAATTTGAAAACTCTATATATAATCGAAAAAATGCTGCTGGTTAAAGAATTTTGCCAATTATGGAGGAAAACATATTTTTCTAGAAGCTAAAATTAACAAAAAAAAAATCAAATTTCTGTTTTCTATTCTTTTATTCATAAAAAGTTAGATATTGGTATATAATACAAATAATAATAAAACAAAAAGTCATGATAATTCAATGCCTGATTTTTAAACGAATTTATTCTTATCACTATAATTGTCAATTTCTACATGAATAACAATAAAAACTGAACAAAAATTGAACTTAATCCACAACCGCCGAAATTATATTCTTTAGTTAAATTACATAAACAAGATATACCCATTACACCAGTAAGCAGTTGAACTCTCAACAAAACTAGTAAATATTTTAAAGTTCCACACAGATTTTAAACCAAAATTTGCAATAAAAAAATCTTTTGAATTAATCAACAAAATTGAAGATATCAAAATCCCTTCTAACGCAACACTATTGTCTTTTGATGTACAAAATTTATTTGCCAGTATTCCACCTATGGATGTGATAGATTTAGTAGATTTCACCCTCACTCGGAAACAGGTTAACCCATTGGTAAAAACAAGATTTATTAGATTGCTTAACAGTATCTTTAGACCAAAATTATTTTGAATTTAATGCACAGATTTACATCTCTAAGGAAGGTTTGATTATGGGAAACCCTCTTAGTCCTTTATTAGCCAATATTTGTATGGATAATTTGGCAAATATCATACTAGAACATCTTTTAAGTAAAAGTTTTCTATGGTGGTATAGATACGTGGATGAAGTCTTTGCTTGCTTTGTTGGAACGGACAGACAATTGTATTTTTAATTACATTAACTCATTACATAATCATATAAAATTCAATATCGAGATTGAACAGGATAACTCTATTAATTTTTTAGACTTAACTATTACGAAAACGCAAAAACAGATTAAATATTTCCATTTACCATAAACCTTCACTCATTTTGT